TTAGAACAGATTTTTGTGCAAATCTCATTGTTTTTAGTGATGTATATGTATAATAATTAGTGGTTAACGGCAGAATGTATGAATCACTACAAAGTCCACCTGTTAAGATACAATGGCAGCATGTAAACACATGGTATAAGAGATTGAACATAAAGTGCCATGCTGACTGTGTACGTTTTAAAAGCATTTTATACATTGCATGAAACCCATATGAAATGTGGCATGATGATTGCAGCATTCCTAATATTACTTTGCACATTGAGACCTTGTCATTTTTGTACTTAATTGTAAGAATAAAATTAATTACATTTTTTTAGATGAGTTTTAGTCAGTATTACCATAATTGTAGAAAAAAAGATGGCAATGAAAGTAATTTCAGAATAGATCAAGAAAGTTTTATATCTTGCAAATATAAAACATCTTGATTGAAAGCATGTGAAGGTGGTTAGAATTACTGGAGTGGGTAATATTTCATACTAGAAAGGATAACACACCTTGTATATAGCATCTTTGAGACTATGGAGAGTTGACCCAACAGTCACTGATGACAAATCACTGTCCCAATCTAATAAAATTATGTAATCAAAAGATCCTCGTTTATTCCAAAGCTCAAGGGCGTCAGTTGATAAGCCTTTCTCTATCGCACTTGTTAATGTTCTAGAAATCAACAAAATGAAGCGGTCATACACTTTGTAGCAATACATTACAAAATCAATTATTTTAATTTTATCTGTCAACATCAATATTGGATTTTACATTTTTTCATGTACACAATAAAAGCAAACAAAATTTGTTTTGCCTCAACTTACCCTGGCTTTATAATATCAGCAGGAACATTAATACATTGTCTGTGTGTGATGCGTGAGACCTCAAACTGAGTTGCCGGTCTAACATCCATCAGAAGAACAGACGCATCTTCATCTTCAAAGAGACTATAAAGTTGTACTGGTGTAATCTCACCTTCAGCACATGTGGATACTGAAATAAATAAAAACATTTCAAAATTATCAAATTTATTATTATTATTATTCATAATTGTCTAAAAGTATAATCTGGTGACGACAATTCTGGATCAGGTAGTAGATAGTGAACACTATGCAGATGTTCATATATAAATGGCTTTCAGTACAGGTAAATAATAAGTCAGCTAATGTTATGAATATTCACCATTCCATTTCATTGAAATGCAAGTAAGGTGTGACCAAGGAGTTTGGCACACTGTTCAGTGCTTTGCAATAGTGTAGTTTTCATGGCACCATGTTACAATTTATATATCTCTAGATTGTTCAGCGTCATTCTTTTTCTACTGAGAAAGCCAAGTTCTTTTATGTAATCAAACCTCAACTACTCGCCTATGTTTGATTCACTGGAGTGATGTCAGATGCAATACTGGAAAGCTGACAATAATCACCAGCTTACACATGTGGTTTTCTTTTCATTCTTTTGCCATAGAATAACTTAACCCCTGATAGGTAGCCTACCTCTTCTAAATTGTGAAACATAATGTTTTAACTCCAATAAAAAAATATTTGCACTGCGACCAAACTCATTAATATTCAATGACCAATTAATATTCACATAGCTCATTAATATTCATGACCAACTGGCACTCTGCTGGGCTGGTGACATCCCTGGGTAGGTATAGAAATATGAAGGTATGTGTCCAGTGATTTCAGTGATGCTTTAGGTAATCATTGCACACACTATGGGTATTACACTTTTATGATAATTAAAAAAAACAATAGTGTACATTACTCACCTATTTCTAGAGATTCATGGTTGCTATTTTTTTCATCTTCTTTTTCATCGTTCTCAGTTTCCAACTTCATCCTTTCTTCATCTTCAATCCTCTTTCTAAGTTCTTCTTCTTCTTGAAATTCAGAGTATCTGGGAATAATTATGACATCATCACCAAGCGTGCCATGATGGGAATTAACATGCATTCTCCAAAGGCTACAAACAGCACTTTGTTTTACCAACATAATGGTTTAACACTGTCACAGTTATTATCCCATGGTTTATTTCTACAACTTTTTAACCAAACTGATAAATTGCTGAAAACTCGTGTGTAGTTGTTTCACTCTTTATGTAATAAGAGATTTGTTAGTAAATAATTGTATGCATTATGTTTTAATGAGTATGTTAATTAGGATAATTTCTACCTGGATAATTGTTTGTTACTGTTCTGTAATGAAATAGATGAATTTATCTTTAGTGCAAATTTAACGTAAAA